CTGGTATTACGTTTGTATATATGCCGATTAAATTGTTCAGTCTGAAGAGAAATCCAATCTTCCGACTTGTCAATGTGCTATGTTCTGACATTTTGAGGTTTGCCAATCCGCGTCTCAAAAACACAGTTCGAGTTAACCCGAGTAAATTAGTGTAAAAATTGGGGCAAATCCAGGGGAAATTGGATTTAGTTCGAGTTAGTGGGGAGCCTCGAGTTAAGCGAGTTTGAGTTAACGGGAGGCTACTGTACATAGAAGACAGAACAGGTTTTATTAGTTAGGGTACTTTCACTAAATCACTAATTACTTTTTTAGGCCAGTGACATTTGCTATGCAGTTCTGTGTCTCTTCTCGTACGCCGCCGCATCTAAAGGCCTTCAAGTTCGTTCATGACATCAGACAACCGAAAGATCTAATGGAAACGTAATGTACAAGTAATACCTTCTAGTGTAATCTGATCTGAGCTGCTGAATTTTACGTTGAATCTGAATTTTGCGTTGCTCGGACAACTCAAAAATACAAAATAGTATGTTGGCTGGCCATATTTGGCTTGCTTCACCCCGTAATGTCCGGCTTTCAGATAAGGCGAACGCTCCGCTGGCTAACATTAAGCCAATGGCGGTCATGTTGATGTGAGGATTAATTAAACCAAAGGTTTAGAATAAACTATTTATTATTAGAACAGATCTATTGACAAATGGAACAAATGGAACTATATTGTCAGATTTTAACCAATTTGTATAGGCCACTGTCTTAAAGCTGTCGTCTGTAAATAGACCTTATCGTGCATTTTGAGCCAGTTTAGAATAAAATGTTGGACTTATAGTACGTACAAAAAGTGTAGGCTTTATTTCAAGGTCTGTTCATGGTGTTATTAAGGTATTAAGGGCGGATTTGCATGAAAATACTCAATAGCACTTTAAATGTTATCATGTTGCAAAGTTGAAAAGTTGTATTTGGTAACATGAAATTTTAAACTGACTCAAAAGTAAACGTCTATTTTGTGGCATCCAACGTTTTCGTGAAGGCCGTCCGTCAGGGAGTATGTGGGAAAACCTTGTCCATGTTAGATATTTGTTACTATTGGCCAGTTGGACTTGCCATTGTTAATAGAATAGATGGTTTGGAAACTCATTAGAATAACAATTATAACTCGTTATCTAAGTTAGTCAACGTTTATTCATAAATCTGGTCGTTCACCGTCACGTGCGTATTGTATTTTTGCCCAACTAACCAATAGCAATGTCTTAGGAAAGTTACCTATCCGTGACTCGAACAATAGGGTAAATTGGAAATTGGTGGATTTGGCAAAAATACAATACACACGTGACGGTGAAGTGACGGACCATATTTATGAATAAACGTTGACTAACATAGATAATGAGTTGTATTGTTATTCTAATGAGTTTCCAAACTATCTATTTTATTAACTATGGACTTACTAAGTCTTGCTTTGTAGTTTTACTGTTAAGCAGTGTGTTAGCTCTGTCCGGCTGTTCCTGACTCTCTGACGAATGACCTGAATGAGTGAAGGAACTCTTTTTTAAGAGGGCAGCACTATAGATAAATAACATTAAATAATAGTAACAATAAATAAGAAACCAGTACAACTTTTAATGAATATAATTTACATATTTATATACATATTTAATGTTCTGAATATAATTAACCTATACATAACATGTGAAAAATTGAAAGTAGAATTAAAGTGATTTTTAGTGTTCTCCTGCCTTCAAGATTCACCCTGCATGTATAATGAAGAAATTGTAAATCTGCATGGCGAATGGAAGCAGGGGCATGGTTGAAAGGCGTATCATTTACATGAAAAGATGTGGTTTTGATTAATTACCGTACAGTTCAAGCTGATCAAGTCGAATGCTTTTCAAGGGTAAGGGCGCCTCTGGCAGCCACTTTATGGCTTGTATCTTATCACAGAGCACAGCTACGGTACCCTATCAACGTTAAGTCCTGTGGGAATTAGAGCCCGGAGTACCCGGAGAAAACCCACGAGTTTTGGTAGAGCGTTGACGCATGACTCTTCCATGTGTTCGCAGCGAAAATCAAACCCACAATCTGAGAGGTGAAAGTCGCTTGCTCTTATATGCGACCGTTCCAGGCTTGGCGCCCATATTGTGAAAAATGTGAAATTGAAGCAAATTTATGAAACTCTACATGACCTTGAAAATAATGAACATATGTTATTATACTATGTACACAGGATTTACTCATTTCTTGTGTTTCTAATAGGGTAAACAATCAGATTGTTTAATTAAGGTTACAGGACACCCTTTTTGGCGTTTTGAGGAAAATCGCTACTGCGCGCTCAATATCAGTCCGATTTTTATCAAATTTTCACCAAATGTTCGCCAGTGCATGCAAAATATGGTAAAGTTGTAAAATTGACAAACAATAAAATAATGTAAGAATTATTCAGGAAAATCTTAAATCGCGGTACCTTTACGCTTTCGAGTTGTGCTCCTCCTGGTTTTAAGTTATATTTATGAAAATATCATTTTTATACTGTAAAATAGTTGTTCTAAAAAATTGTGTTCGGAAATTTTTGTTTATTTCGTCATTCCGCTGATATGGCGATTTCTTTGACGACTGCCATTTATTTCTGAATTGTTTGAGTGAATTGCTCTTTATTATTAAAATATCCAAAATTGAAAAAAAGCCGAACATAATTTTGAAACTGACGTCTTTAGCTATGTCCTGTGAAAATTTGAGAAAATTGGTTAAAACCCGCAGGAGAACAACTCGGTTGAAAATCAGTAATTGCCGTAAAATTCGTCGGGAGAAAATTGAATTTGAATATTACATTTTCAATGTTTTTCTTATTGCAGCGAAATGTATTTTATTAAATAACTCTGCGAGTCAGATAGTATAGAACTAGTCTAATGCTTTCATGGAAACCAATAAAAAAATTTTAGGCAAAATTAACACTCAAAGGTGTTCTGTAACCTTAAATAGACAATCAACATTTTTGCCTCCGTGAACTTACGATTTTTCAAAATTAGTAAATGAAGTAATCGATATCGTCCAGTAGGAGGAAAGCTGAGGCTGTTCATTTTCCACGTCTTCATAATTGTTAACATGATCATCATTCTCAGCAGTATCATAAATTACATCTGTTGAATTATATCTGGCCTTGCCTTGGTTTCTATTTATGCTTGAAGACTTGCGACGATTACAACACACAAAATAAGTGAAAATCACCAGTAACATAACCGAGAGAATTGCCAATACTATAATACCAACAAGGTACATCTCACAATCTTCTCTAGTTTTCTCCGTTCCGGCGAAATAAAAAGATTTAATTCACATTGTAGCAGTGAAGTTATAACAGTCATGATATCGTTTGCTAAAATATGGCTTAACTAATTATGAATGCAATCCATTCTCGAATTCTACTTTGGGTGTAGTTTGTCATTACCCACACTGAAAGGTTTTTCAAAATCCTTACGTATGGAAATAGACGTATGAGCTCATCTTCAAAGTTACAAAGGCGCTTAAATTGAGCAGAGAGCCATCCAGATCGTTTTACAGCATGGGCATCCTTGAAAAATGCTTTTTGACAGACAACTGCAAATTTTAGTTCCTGAAAAACAATGTGTTCATCACAACATTTATAAAAACAATTTTGAGATGTTTTTTACGTTTTCTAATTTTCTAGGCGATAGACCGTGGCTGATGGGGCCCTATATACTGTCGGAGGCCTTAGTTTTTTAACTAACCCTACCCAATGAGCGTTACGCCACTGGTACTATCAATCAATCAATCAATCTGTTTAATTAAAACCAATTTGCAGTTTTTAAAGGAAAACTGAATTACATGGAGTACTAATATAGCATAAAAATTTATATTAAAATTTACATATATATATATTATATAAAATAATGTTTATTTAGTTAGGACTGTTAATTAACTATAAAGCTAATAATATTTCCTAGTCACGAAGTTTTTTAACCGTTCAGTGGTTTCTGACCATAAAGGTTGTTCGGCCGTTCTGTCATTCCTTAAGTCATAATCATGAGTTTTTACCCCGGGACGAATTTCCATAATTTGGGTCAAAGAGTTGTAGGGTGAAACATCACGTCGCAGAGATTCGACGAATTTCTTGCAAGAGATGTCTCTACGAGTACTCAGATACTGTAAGTTTGAAATTTCAAGGGCTTCATCATATAACAGATCTGGATAAGCTATTCTCAATGCTCTCTTTTGAACAGATTCCAGAATGTCAGATAATGATTTAGGTATTGACGACCATACAGGGGATGCATATTCAATTCTGGATCTGATGAATGAGATATATATTTGGACGATGTCAGATGCTTGAAGACCAGCCTTTTTTAACAGACGCAATGCGTATAAGCGAGAATTTGCCTTTTTCAATACTATGTCGACATGAGTATTCCATGACAAGTCGTTTGATATCCATACACCTAGGAGTTTGAAAGAGGACACAGTTTCCACCGGTTTACCTGCAACATAGATCGGGTTTTCATCATCAGATCCTTTATATTTAAGAAAGTTGATCAACATTTGTTTGCATTTCTTATAATTTAGTTCCATCCCACGTTCTAAGGCGTAGTCCGAGATTTCATTTACGACTAATGGCATTAAACTGGATGAAAAACGTGGTATAATCTCTAGGGCTGAGGTGTCATCCACAAACTTGATCCTACTGGGCCAGTTTTGAGTAAGGAATTAATGAGAACAGCAAACAATAATGGACCCAACTTTGTACCTTGTGGCAAGCCACCATTTGTTTTCTTCCAAGAGGACATAGAAGTTCCCACCCGGACACATTGTTCGCGATCGCAGAGGAAGGCTTTAATGCACTGAATTATAGAGGGATGGGTACCAAGCAGGGTTAACTCTTTAATAATAACATTGTGGTCTACTAGGTCAAAACCTTTCTTGAAATCTGCAAAGAACAATCTGGCAGTACAGGAACCTCTCTCAAGAGCAACCAAGATTGAATGTAAAAGGTAGACCAAAGCGTGGGTCGTTGATTTCTTTGGGAGTGCAAATTGTTTGGTGTCAAGTTTATTTACAACTTCAGGAAAAAAAATTGTCCAAAGTACAATCCTCCATAACTTTGGCGATCTGAGATGTTAAAGATATTGGTCGTAGGTCGTCTTCAATACTCTTTGGGGGTGATACCTTAGGGACAGGCACTACAATAGATCTCTTCAATGCCTTTGGGAAGGTGCCTTGGGTCATGGATGAGTTGAAAATGTCTGAGATAACTGGGGCAAGCTCAAAGGCAAATGTTTTCAGGATTTTATTTGGAAACATGTCAGGACCCGGTGATTTTGTGGTTTTAATTTTACTAAGTTTCATATAGATCTGTTGGGCGTCAACGAGGTAATGGTTTGGTACTTCTAGGCCCTCCTGGATTTCGTCGAGAGTTAGAGGGTCAAAATGTGATGTAAGGGCAGTAAGAAAGTTATTAAAATTTTCGGCCAGTTCTTCACAATTCCGAACATCATCAGAAAATAGCTGAGAATACCAAGAATTTTTTGACGAGAGACCACCAATGGCTTTCACTTCTTTCCACCATCTTGCCGGGTTAGAATTTTTCAATTTCTCAACTGACCTCATATAGTAGATCTTTCGTGCAACTTTAATGCATGATTGGACTCTGTTACGCCAATATTTATAAATATCTGAATTTTTCCCGCTTTCGTGTAAGGCTTTTTGGCGTCTCCTAATAGCAGACTTTATTGATGACGTCATCCAAGGCTTATCACACTTTCGTACTTTAATCCGTTCCAAGGGAAAGAATTTTTCAATCATCACAGTCATTGTATCGTTAAACTTTTCATATTTTGTATCACAGTCATGTATGTCCAAGATAGGAGACCAGTCAAATGTAGTGATATATCGTCCAAAAGGCCGTATCCTGCTATCTCTGAGATCGCGTTTCCATATATGTGAATTGTCTGGCTTTGAGGGAGAAGGTTGGGCTTTCATAAGAATCGTATAATGATCACTGGTTCCAATGGGAGGAAGTTGGATTGATTCGTAAATATTATCCACCTTTGAGTTGGTTAAACACCAGTCTAAAGTTACATCAGCTCTGGTAGCTACCTTGACTACCTGCGTCAGACCAGCAATTCTTTTAAGATGGTTTGCATCGAGACCCGTGCTTCTAAAATTGAAGTCGCCCGTAATTAGGACCAAAGCTTCAGGGTGGGAATATAAAAATGAGTCCACATTGGTTTGAATGTGTGAATACAATTCTACATTTTCAGTTTGGCGGGATGCTGTTGAATGGTAAACAACAGCCAGTAAGATAACCGAGACAGAGGGGGGTAGCTTCTTTGGTCTCACTGATAACCACAGTGATTCAATCGAAGAGTTTTCAAATTCCTCAATTCGTCTACAATAGATATTGCTATTTATGTAGGCACAAACACCTCCGCCGTTTGAAACCAGTCTATCGTTCCTAAACAGATTGAAATTGGACAAAAATACCAAATTGTCAGGAATTGCAGGAGATAACCAAGTCTCTGTAATGCAGACCATGTCCGTTTGGTTAAGCGACCCAATGCATTTTATGTTAATTATGCAATCACCCAAAATCAATTTCATGAGGTTTTTGTGATATCCAGAACAAAAAGCAGTGAAAACGATTTAAAATTTCACAATAACAGCATATAAATATTAGAAATTTCATTTACCTACAAAAATCTTGTTTTTTTATTTCTGTATTTAAACAACCGCTTCCTATAAAATTACATACCGCTGGCTCAACTTACACGTAATTCTGTCGGTTATCTGCTAGCAGATACCCGAATTGCCATATTTATTATTTAATTAGTTGTAAGCTATTAACCAATCAAAACGCATGCAGTGACTACAATGTATAATAATAGTTATTATTGTGTGTTGTACAAGCTGCATGCATCGTCAATCATACAGGTATATTAAAGCTATGTAGCTGACATACGACCATACTAAAGCATACAACAGTGCTGAATTAGCCCGACTCTTTACTTTAAACCGATTTAAAACAAGTTTATCAACATTTTCAATGTTTGCTCTGTAAGGTTTTGGAATCTGTTTACGTTTGCGTGCCTTATTCCTAACTTACTGTCACAATCAACACTATAGCCTGACAAGTAATTCTACTATCCCTAGAGCTAAATCAACTATAATTTTATATAATAACAAAAATCAACAGAAAAACATACATGATCATCTGTTGATATCTTGAATTGTCGAAGCGATTTCTAAACTGTAACAAAGCATCCTTCATAGAGCAAAGGTTTTTTATTTGAAGTTTTTCTTCAAATAATTGCATAAATTTGTTGGAATAAAAGTACTTAGTTGCAAAATATCTTTGTTAAAGAGAATTGTAAGAAGCTTTCATCTTTCAAATAAGCTTTTTATGCCACCCATTAAGTATGTTGACATTGCGTGGATATTTGCAATTCGTTGCTACTCTGAAACGAGGGATGTAGTCTCCACTATTCTGTCCCATCACTCATAGATAGCGGAACCGGGGGCTAGGAGCTGAGGACTTTAGCCTCGAAAAAGTAGAAGTCAGGGGGCTCCGCTCATAAACAAAATCAGAGCGAGTAGACTTAAATACAGAAGCGTCAGATTCTTCGCTGCTTCAAATGCAAAATGAACAAGATGTCTGATGTCATAGACTTTGCATGTCAAATACACCCACGAATGGACAAAATGCTATTTCAGAAACTAGAATTCAAAATTGTCCGTAGGAGTCTTCCCCCGTAACCCCTAATGTGTGTCTACCTCCCCCCCCCCTCCTCCCGATGCCATTTCATCACTCTGTCGATGGCATCACTTATACTATTAATAGTAAAGTTTCTTTGACCGTGCAGTTATCCGCGTATTCAAACTTTGACTAGAAAACCTTTATCTTTGATAATAACCTTTGATTTAATAAAGACTTTGAACAGAAGTTTTTGAACGAGTTTGTGCATAACACGTCACACTCATGAAATAAAGGTGATAAAGCTAGGTTTTCAAGACTATTCGGTAATGCTCCAAATTCAAAAGCTTAATGCTATCAATGCCTATCATAATGTCGCTTTCACTCATTCACCACCTTCGTACAGTACCTGTGTCCCAATTTCGTCAAACTTTGCGTCGTGTTTTGGTATTATATTACCTAGGGCTTTATCTATCAGTGTCCCCTGTAGAAATTTCAGCTAACAGGGTCCTTTCAAAGTCTTTGACATGACGTACGTGTTTGAAAGAGGCTTGTAATCATACACACACCTAAATCTTTCAACTATCAAAGAAACTTTGACATATCTAAGTAAGACCAAACATGCGTGTGTACAAATTATCAAATTTGCGAACAGCATATTTTTGTGACGAATTCTACCGCATCAGAATTGTACTGAAATTTGACATTAGTGTTAATGACAGTCAGAACATGGTTTAAAATCTCATCAAACTGAGATCATTATATATTCTGTTGAGGGCAACATAACAGTAAGTGTTTATGAGAGGTTTCTGATTTCCGTTGCACAAATAGCCCAATGAAGGGTTCTTTATTATGTATGCAGAAATAAAGAATCTCAATATTCTACATTGCTGTATGACAAAGCAGTCACAACCAGTTTCAACGAATGAAAGGCCACAACGTGTCAATCGTTAAGGTACATAAATACTATATGTTCGTCATTTTAAATACAGTTTACGTTTACCACTGGTCCAGGACTGAACAACTGACATAAAATCTCAAGGTTAACGATGGGTATCACTGAAAATTTAATCTGTATTGTATTGGTATGTTGTATTACTACATATGCTCACAATCAGCACGATCCTCCAGCGCCTGTCGCGAGTGATGCCTTATCAGAACATCAACATTTCAGTGACAGTGGAGATCATGATACCTCCTACGATCATGATATGTTTCTTGGAAGAGATGAAGCTCGAAATTTTGAAAATCTCGATCCTAAAATTGCTAAGAATAAATTGAGGTAAGATGTTCAGCAAATCGTTATGAAATCAAACATTGATTCAGGGCAGGGTTTTTTAATGCACGACTGACCATGACGATAATGATCTGTATTCCAAGCCCGGACATTGCCTTAGATCGTCAAATAACGCGTTCAAAAGAAATTATATAATTATATACATGTTTGAATTAAAATACGATTCCTAGATTAATCGTGGATCGAATTGAGGTAACAAAATCTGAATGCTGGGATTCGTCGTCGATTTGAAAGTTATAGCTAGCTTGGAAAGTGGGATGTATACGTTAAACTGATACACTCAGGCTATATAGCTAACTCTCGTCCTTCTACACATGCAGTATACATATATGTCTTATACAGTATATGGCACATAAAATGTTTAACACATAATACTAAACAAATCTAAAACCCCAGACTGATCTTCTATAGCTACAGGCCATGTATACGTACTGGTTTTCCAGTGAAAAATAATGCCTCGTTCACATGCAAGAGCCTATAGTATAGCTATACCCTTGAGACATCGTCATTGCTGCGATATTTCTCATTTATGTCATAATACAGTATGAGTAGTCTTAATTTTGACTGTATGTTTTAAATCCACCGAACTACTGTATATTCTACAACTTCATCCCGCTATAGAATTATAAAGATATGTATGCCAGTGTATGCATACCAAAACAAATAGCCGATCGTATCAAGCAAAGATCTTAATTCTTTCTGACAAATTATAACAATTATAATATATAGCACTATTAATACTTGATTCCACAAAACTAAATATTCAGTCAACACCGGCTCGATTGCCTATCCATTTAAAGGTGCGTATATTGGTATTAACGATGATCTGAGTGCAGATATAGTTTGGGATTGTTTTCATTTATTGAATAATTATTGTGTAATTATATAAAATAATCGATTTTGGTATTTACGATGCCATGTATTATACGTAAAGTAATTTGAGAGTCAATGAGCCGTAAGAAAATCTTTAAAATGAATATTTAAGAATCGCAACTGACGCTGTTGATTAGCATAAT